ATTTATTATGCAACCGTAAAAATCTTGTTTAGTTATTCAAATCCAAAACTTTTTTCATAATTTTTGAATTTTTTTTTTTTTTTTTGCAACGATTTTTAGTACGTACCGTAATTTTAATCAATTACGAATGGGCGGAGGTAAAACAGAATTACTACGAAAATAAATTTGACTTTGTTATTTAATAATTAATAATAAAATTATAAAATTTTACTATAATTAAAAATTTTTTATTTATCGGGTGTTAAAAATTTATTAATTTGTTTTAAAAGTTATACGATAAGTAACTTTTTACGACTATCTTTTGACTAACGTAGGAGTCAGACATTTTGAAAAAGGAAATTTATTGATACATACATATTTAGATCAATCTTTGTAGATTTTGCTGCAAAAATTTGGATTTATTTAGTGTCTATGGAAAATCGTAACACCAATAATGTGGTACGTATTAACTTTTTTTTGTTTTCTATTTCGTCGGAAATCCTATTATTATTCCCTATGTAAATATTAATAAATTTACATTTTATTGTTTTAAAATGAAAAAAAAATTTTTTTTTTTTTTTTGATATTTTAGCATTGATTTTAAATTAATTTTTTTTTTTTTTTTTTCTAACTAGTATTCAATGATTGATTTCACATGATTTCAACTTATTTTTCATTTAATGTTTCTAAAGATTATTTTTTTTTAATTACTGCCTTTAATTATTTAAAAATTTTTTTTTTAATTTTGTTATTAGCCCTCAAATGAAGGGAGACCTGAGTCAGATCGTAATAATGAATTAAATGAAACCTACGATTCTACCGAACGTGGAGTTTTACCCTTATCTGGGTACATGCAAAATGGATTGGGTTTAATGGGAGAAGATCCTTCACAACTTCAAACAGAAGATATACCTCCTCCAAAATTAGATTTTTCAGCACCTCCCCCTTATGAAGTTTCATCAAAACTACCCACTTATGAGGAAGTACAAAGAGAAAAAACTAGGCTTGGAGAACCTCAAATAAATAATGTATGTTTTTCCATGTCCTACCTTTTTTTAAAAAACTTGTACAGTCGCTTTTCAAAAAACAATTTAATGGAGTGTTAATTAATCGGAATCTTTCTCTCTATTCAAATTCAGATGTTTTAATACTGTGACTGTATTAAAAAGTTACTTTTGCTTTCGAGTTTCAAAAAATTTTAATTTATGGGGGGTTGTAAATATTTTTAATTATTAAAACTTATTATTTCCTAATACATCTTTTTAAAAAATAATAAAATTAATGATTAACTTACCTTTATTTTAATCACAGGTGTCATCGCAATCAAATCCTCAATCCCTTGCATTTTTAGCTATAGATACGGAAGGACGAGAAGGTGAAAATGAATCAGGCTTGCTTGGAACTGATTTTATGTTTTTCACTGCATTCTTAGGTAACTTATTTGAATCTATTAATTAAAAATCATAATTTGAAATAAACAAGTTGTTAAATATAATTA